GCACATAGTTCCTGTGCTTTACTACTGGGGTGCAACCAGACCAACCCCAAATTGCAGCTGTCATTCTCTAAGATAAGTGATTCTACAATCACTTTAGAAAACACAGCTGAATGCATCCAGCACAGCATAGTGGTTAAGGACACAGACCCTGGAACTAGACCACCTGGGTTCAGATCCCAGCCCCGCCACGGGGCAGCAGGGTAAACTCGGGCCCCTTGCTCTGCATGAGTGTGCTTCCAGTCGTCTGTAAAATGGAAATAGTAACAGGCCCTGCCTCCTGGGGGCACTCTGACCAGTGAGAGTTAAATCCATGTACTTTGGCCAGTGCTTGATACATAGTCTGCGCCGACTATTACTTTTTTCCACCCTCCTAACCTTTTTCTGTTGCAAGTGTTGAGTACTAATTTAAAAAAAAAAGAATTCCACAGAACTCTTTGAAAATTCTTTCCCTTGGTCTTTTTTTCTTTTCTTTCTCAAGCCAAATAAGCTTCCAAAATATCAGCAGAAGACCACAGAGCAAATAATTTGGAACCTAAAACACTAAGTCATCGATACAACTGGCCAACTTACACATGGATCTAAAAATAGCTCAGCTGGATGAGTAAGCCTCCCCGTAAGCCACCGTCATATTCCTCCTCAACAGAGCAAGTCTGCCCGGTCCCGGGGCTCAGCAGCCCAAACAGTCGTGCCAACCGGCTGGGCACACAGCGCACAGGGACACGTGGCTCCCACCCCAGCGCTGTGAGCACCTGTGCTAAACACTCAGCACCCGGCCGAGAGCGAGGTCAGTTCTTTGAGAGAAACTTAAGGAAAAACTCTGGCCTTAAAACAAATTTTCAAACAGTATGCGTTCTAACGCCTCCATCCAAGCAAACTACTTGTATCCAGTACACACTTTTCTAGGCTTAAGTAATATGTACCCACAGATTTTAGAGTGGCTGCAAACAGACTCTGCTCCAGTTCCGCGCTCATTTTCTCCACTTAGTTACTCTATATACACTTCCTCGTGGGTCCACACACACATGCTTCATGATTCCAATTTTAATAGTTACAGGTTGATATTCCATGGTTCACTTAACAACAGGAATACGGGTAAGCCTTTAAGCCATTTCCAGTTCTTCATTTTCATAATTAATACCGCCATCAACATTTTTCTCCTTTTTGGGGTTATTTTCAGAGGGTAAATATAAAGTAATGGTCAAAGAAGATGAACATTTTCTACGCTGACAGCTGACCTCCCCAAACTTGGAACCATTAGACGAAACTATCAGACTTTAGCGGAGCTATTTCTCCAGAGTTTTCCAGGATGATATAATTTTTGCCAGTGAAATGGAGGAACAAGACAACAGCTGTTTAGAGTCACATGTTTTTAATAGTCAAGGCTGAACATTTCTTCTCAAATTCCCGACTATAATTTTTCTTGACTAATCTTTTTGCACCTGTCCTCTGGACATTTCCCCACTGAGAACTTGGCGTTTTTACAGACCACTGAAAGGCTTTTTATGTTTCAATATTAAATTATATGTGCATGGTGTTACGTAAATAAGTCAAAGATGGACCTGCCCTGGCCGGTTTTGCTCAGTGGCTAGAGCGTTGACCCGTGGACTGAAGGGTCTGGGTTCGATTCTGGCCGAGGGCACGTGCCTCGGTTGCAGGCTCATCCCCGCATGCGGGAGGCAACCAATCGATGTGTCTCTCTCATATATTCGTTTCTCTCTCTCTTCCACTCCCTCTGAAAAGCAACAGAAAAAATATCCTCGGGCATGGATTAAAAAAAAAAAAAAAAAAAA